GGCCCAGAAGATAGCTTCTTTCCCAAAACTACTGTAAGTTATTATACATAATTACATTTTTCGAAAGTAATAAAGTCTACAAAAAATGAAGTAACTGTCTTTTATGTTTATCTGCATTTATGATATTCATTCTATGATAATCAATTTATCTAAATAATTTGACAAGCAAGAAAACCGACTTACTCTTGATCCTTACCACACTTATCCGTGTTTTAGGCATACTTGGTTGGGCCTATTGGACCTCGAAGCCAGGTCTTACTTCATCCATCGATAGTTCGTACGAATTCGACTCGCATTGTAAAGGATGAGGTACATATCATTATAGAATACAAACAAGGTGAAATTCTTGACGAATATGTAGCACCAGCTTCATCACGTTTCATCACTTCGCACGATCAATATAGGTGCGTTCTAAACTTGATCTACATACTGAAAATCTTAGCTTTTTGCGTCAGGTTCCGGGAAAGTGTTGAAAGCTTCCCGAAATCCAGGTGCTTTTTGGTTTATCTTACTTTTACATCTCAATTTTTTGCTCTCGATATATTACCATTATTCAGTGGCAGTGCTGTTGTGATTGAAATGTTTTTCAAAGCAATAAGTCAGTTTAATCCTGATCTGGTCATTTTAGCTGGTGTTCACCTTCTACAAAATCAGGTGGGTTTGTTCGGTTATATCAGTTTTACCAAAAACTTTGAAATTTCAGTTATTGATTGATTTTGATGTTGAGTTAATTTTATTTTCTCTATACTTGCTCTTCTTCTATGTGTATTTGATCATTGTAGAACAAGGAAATGCAAATGGAGAAGCTTCGCTTAATTAAACGAAGTTTATTGCAAGTAAAACACAATATCCCTATTCATTTCCAACTCGGAAATATGGGTAATCCTGACCACGTTTTTGAAGTGCTTCATAAAGTTCGTTTTTTTTTCTTTTAACTTTTAAGCCTTAATTACGACTTTGCCATAAAACTTATTTTCTATTTTCTATTCACTTCCAGGAGTATTTTGTTTCATATGCCAATATTATTGATAAATATATGATCAATTCCATTTAATAGCAGTGGTTATTCATTTAGTGCCGTACCCGTCATTGTGTGCTACAAGAATTATGCTTACTTAGAATTATGCTTAGAATTATGCTTAGAATTATGCTTAAGAATTATGCTTAGAATTATGAATTATGCTTACTTAATTATGAATTATGGTTAGTTCACAGAATTATGCTTACCATCTTGTACTGTCTCGTTTCTCCCTATTCAGTAGTCAGCGCACCCGGATGATATTCTCATTGCTTTTACCATATATTGTCATGGATATATTTGATTTATAAGAACTTCTGTTGTTAAGAGAATTATTTAATTTTGTTCAGATCGTACCTCACGTTGATTCGTTGGGTTTGAATGAACAGGAGTTAGCATTTTTCTCTCATGTTGCCAGTGGGCCGTATACAGATCTTTATCCTGTTTTTCCTGGTGCAATACATGTACACAAGGTGAGATATTTTTAACATTATGTAAAAATTTTAGTATTTATCTAGCAACTCTATGGATCAAGCTCATAACCGGATTGTATTATGCATTTGATTAATAAAAATCAATTCAACACCTAAAAATTCGTCTGGATTTTTGTTGAAGGTAGTCGAAATGTTGTACTGGTTGTTATCGAAATTCGGACATGATAGTAGTAATCCGGAATCGAGAAATTATCACTATAGGCTGTCCAGAATACACTTCCATTCCTTAACTTTTCACCTGATGGTAAGTTTTGGATAATCGTCAATTACTGCCATTTTATCAGTGTCTGTCGGTGTTACAGTGTCCGAAATCTCATTATTTTCCAAAATCTGTAAATTTTATAGCACCTTAATTTTCTGATCCAAAGATAAGTATTCTAGTTAATGCACTGTAAGTTAAAATACTTGCTCATGTTTTGAAGGTTTATAAAGGGGCAGAATGGTCAAATTTGGCTTCTGGTCTGGCAGCAGGTGCTAAGGTTGCAGCTCATCATTCCTGTAAAATTAGTAACGATTTGAATACGGATAATTTGGAATTGAGAATATCAAAGGCTCATTTGCTTGACAAAGAAGTCGGGAAGCAATATGTCTTCGAACCGCAGAGGTATTTTTCTTATCTTACTCTCAGCTAAAGAACTGTGAGTTCAGAAATTAGGCTTTTTGGAAATTGCAAGTCAGCTACTTCCAGACTTATCTGCTGTTTGGTATACTGTCAGGTTTGAATATTTAATAAAAGCTATTCCAGATATAATTTCGAATTTCAGGCCCATAGCTTCATGGATGCGTAATGACGTAATATTTATGTATACTCCCGCGCTGATATGCAAATTCCCAACCAGAACAGTTGGTACTGATGATGCTGTTTCAGCCACTGGACTTATATTCTCACAATTTTATCGCTTTTCTTCTTAGTAGATGGATGTAACTATATAGTCAAGAATGTTTGAAGGCTTACGAAGAAGTTAATTTTCGAACCATGATAATGTGGCTTTTCTCCAAAAAGTCTTATAAGTTAATCTCGCGGTGAAACGAATAAGTCATTCTTATTATAAATAAGTAATTCTTGCTATATGTTTAGGTGAATTGTAAAAGTTTGATATTTTTCTTATTAGGGATAATGTTTCTCCTTAAGTAAAACGAACACTAGTCATTTTTTCAATTTAGATGTTTTTCTCAACTTTTTACATGAAAAATCTAGTGGGCATTGCAAACTGCACTTTGAATTTTTAATTTTTCGAATTTAGCACTCTTTGTAGTTTTCATACTTTTTAAGAAACCCACGTTGCAAGTACATAATAGATGCACATCATTGTCACAATTTCCAAAATGTTTTCATATTTCTTTCGATTATATCCCTGAATTTCCTTTTTGGTTTTTTATTTTAAAAATTATTTTTTCCATCCTCAAACTTCAGCTTCTCTTTTCAATATATATGCTATTCATTTCATATTATTAACGCATTTGATATTAATGTAACTTTTGTTGCTGTACAATGTTTTCTAGTCATTGCGAAACTCGGTGATTCATTTCTACTTCCACGAAGAAGACTTCAGTTGTATTTAGCCTGTGTTTATAGTTTCTAATAAATTTAATAAAGGCTCCATTGTATTCAATTATCTTTACAAAGTTATTTTGATGAAATCGCTGAAAATACCATTCAAATAAGAATAGTTTGAATCGAAAAATTGTTTTACCGAATCTTCAGTACATCGAGAATGTAGGCAGACTATCTTTGATAAAAAGCTACTAGATTTGTCGAACGTAGATTAAATATTTATTAATATAAATTGTTATGATAATGCCATATTTTTGTGCATTTATGATTGCTTAGAAACGTCATTATTGTTGCATCGCAAAAACCGCGTTTCTACACTTTCAATTCTTGCGATGCTGAGCAACAATTTAGGTACATTTTCAAGCCGTAGACACAAATGTTCCAGAATGCTTGCCGCATTTCAGATTTTTGGAAATGACATTCTTCATGAAGCATACTTTACTGGATTTATTAAAGCAAGTTCGACTTAACAGTAGAGCTACTACTAACAGCAGTGGTGGACCAGCAAAGTGGTTAGACGACGCTGTAACTTATGCAGATGTACAGACATCTTTCGTGGATCCGTGCACTTCATTGCCATATCCGGAGAAGGTGAACTTTTTAATTCGCTATTAATACTTTTTTTTTTTGAATGCAATGCCTTTCAATTTTAGTCTATTAAAATTGTTTGCAAATTACTGAGTTTCCTGTTTTTTTGTTTTGAAAGTTATCTTCCAATCATTGTCTCTCGTTAAGATTCCTCCGTTTTATTTTTCAAAATTACACGAAACTAGTATGAAAATGAGTGGATCGAACCTTTAGTTGGCTTAAATTTGTACTTAGCATTGTCCTTATGTTGCATTCAGTTCAGTTGTGCGAATACGCTGTACAGTTTTATGGTTGTACTTTCATATTGCGCCTAAGTTGAACTTTAACTCCGATTAACATCTGTTCTGGTATATTTCCTTTGAACCGTTGTTTACTTTCAGGAATTACACCGATTTTTAGAGAACAAAACGCCGAAGGTAAGAGGAAAGGCTGATAATAAAATTGTTAACAAGAGAAGCAACAATGGAAAGCTTGATTTTAGCCATATACCTATTGAAGAGCAAGTGGTTGTCTTATTTCCAGGTCAGGGGACGCAGTACGTTGGCATGGGTAAAAAAGTGAGCTAAATTTTTGGTATTCAGCTTTGAATTTTTAATGAAAAAAAATCGAAATATTGACAGGGGTCGCAATTTGATGCATTCAGGTAGTGGACTGTAGCAAAGTAATTGATATCTACAAAAAAGCATCAGAAATATTACAATATGATTTGCTGAAACTGTGCTTGGAAGGTAAGTATATATAATAAAAGACTATGATATCCAGTATATTCAGTAATTTGATTTTGTTAAAAAGCTTGGTTAACTGTTGGAAATTGGAAGTTTTTGTTGGAAATTTTCGAAAAAATACAGGTAAAAAAATACTAGCAAACTGTTCTAATTCCACTTGCATTATGCAAATATATACTCTGTTTCTTAAGAATCTATAGATATCAGAGTTATTAAAATAAAAGTCAAGTTATTTGATTTCAAACATCTTCATAAAAAGGACCAAAATCAAAACTCGACCAGACAGTTTATTCCCAACCAGCCATTTTCGTCAGTTCGTTGGCTGCGTGGGAAAAAGCAAAAGCAGAAAATGAAACACTGAGTGCTCGTACGACCGATGTAGCTGGTTTCAGTATTGGTGAATTTGCGGCATTTGTACTTTCTGAAATACTTTCTTTTGAGGATGGTATGTTTTTGCCTTAATAGCGCTATTTAGTTCTGTATTTTTTGGTTTTTTCATTTAAACATGCGCGTTTTTCTTGCCGCACTACCTGGATATCGCTAAGTTTTATATTTCAATTCTTACACGCACTTTACCATTTTAAACTTTTGCTGTTTACCAGAATTCACTACTTAATAATTAGTGACTGATGTTTTATAATGACAAAACAATTCGACGCAGAATTTGTCAAACACGAAATTTTTGTACAGCTCTTCGATTGGTGAAAATTCGTGCTGAAGCTATGCAGCAGTGTAGCTTACGATATCCTTCTGGGATGATAACGCTGCGAGTAAATGCAGCTACACGATTGGAAGATGCGTTGGAAGACGCTAAAACCTATGCCTGGTTCGTTTATATTCCTTTTCACACTAAGCATTGCCTGTGCAAATGGCGTGATGCCAAAACAAAAGTTTCTTCAATTTATGGAGAATTTAACTTCCTCAAATGTAAATTAAGAAATCAAAACTTAAAACATCTCTCGAAATGAACATGTAGCGTTTAAAGCATCTAAATTTTAGGGAGAAGGACGAGCTGCCCTTATGTGAAGTAGCCAATTATTTGTTTTGTGGTGTGAAAGTCATTGGAGCATCGGAAAATTGCATTAATTTTCTGAATAATAATCAAGAGAAATATGTTTTCCAGGTATTTTTGTGGCAATAATTCGAAAGTACGAATAGATATCTTGATGTTAGTGGAAATAGTGTTTTGCTTGAATATTGATATACTGATCCTTATATTGTCTTTTCTTATATTGTTTTTCATTCTTATGTCTTTCATTCTTTCTTTCATTCTTTTACCGTTAATGTTTTCAGGTGGTGAAAAGGTTGGACGTAAACGGCGCATTTCATACTACTTTAATGAAAGATGTTGCTAATACACTAAAAAATGCTATCAAAGGTTGACTGCATTGTTTGGAGTTTCAAGTTTTTTTGACTTTTCCAGTCATTTTCCTAACATTTACAAGTTTCTTTAAACGTTCGGATTTGGAGAAGGAATTTAAACTTGCAGTAATTATATCTCCCTTCTTCGTTTATCTATTTTCGTAAATTTTTTGATATACTGAAATGCAATATTTTTTTACTAGCAAGAATACTCGTAGTTGCTCTTCCTTATAAAAAGTGTTGGATTATATATGCTTCGAGTTATGTTTTTCATATTTTATTTATTAACTGCCAAATTAGGTCAGCTGTAGAAAATAGCTTAAAGAATAGTTCATTTGAAGTACTAGAATGTTGTTTAATGCGGAAAATGAGTTAAAAAATTTGTATTTTCAGATGTGAAAATTAACGAGCAGCCACGAATGAATATTTATTCAAATTATACTGGTAAACTACATATATACAACGAGAAACGGATTCGTGAAGCAATCGTCAAGCAAGTTTGTTCACCAGTTAAATGGGAGCAAATTCAACAATTACTTCATGCAAAACATCAAGTAAGACTTTATATTGCCTGCCTGCTGCTGTTTGTTTAGCTTATATGCATTGTTAATGAAGAGCAAATGTTTAGTTGTGGGTTACTTATCTTTCCTAGAAAATTTTTTTTTCTCAGGTGGTTGTTTGAGGATATCAGGCTTTCGGCCCACTTATAAAATAATGTGGTATTTTTTGGATTGCATTTCAGGACTTCAAGTTTCCAACATTTATAGAAGTTGGACCAGGAAAGCAGCTAGGTGCGATGCTTTTGAAAATCAGCAAAAAAGCTTACAAGAACTACATTAGCTATACTGCATAGCTCCATTTTTAGACCATATGTTTATTTCGCAACATGTTTTTCTTGTAAGTCCGATAAAATTTTCAGATTTGAATATTTCGAGTTTTTTTAAATCTGTTTAAATATGTTGTGGAAAAGCTTAGTTATAACAAAATGAAATGCTCAGCAGTGAAAGCGTTATGCTTGGAATGGCTTGCGAAGCATCATCCGAATTCATGATATTTTCCGGATAAGGATTACGTGATTGCGAAGACGAAAAAATCAACCATTTTTCACTGTTAATTCGACTATCAATGGTTAGGTTAAGCAGTTGCCGGCAGGAATAAGGTAGCTGATCAGTAATACCAAGGTGATTGTACAGTTGTTCAAAGCTGAAAATTTTTCTCCATAATCTCAGAGCAAAGTTCATTTGAAAACATATCAAATATATTCAAGGAAAATGGACGTTTCAGAGTTACAAAATCCCAGAATTATAAACTAGAGACCTGAGTGACCCGGATTCAAAATATAAGAAAGCATAATTTTTCTTGTATTGAGTTCCGGCTGCTAAAGGAAAAAAGACCTTAAACCATTGTTTAACAATGGTTTCTAGGAATTTATAATTTGTGAAAAATATGAAATGTTTTTAGTGAGATGGTCGCAAACTCTAAAAAAATCTTGAATAAAGCAGATCCAAATTGTTTTAGATCAAAGTTGACCCTTTCCGATATGCCCCGTCACACCTCTTTTTTAGATTTTGATTATTATCCTACTTTTTTGCAGCAACCGATTGAATAGATATGGATAAGTTCACCTTGTAAAGCCAACAGTGATGAATTTGACCATCACCTTAGCTGATGATGCTCAAATTCATTTTAGATCAAGTTGACTCTCTCGGATGTGACCTGTCGCACCTGTTTTTAGATTTTGATTAGTTATCATGCTTTTTTTGCAACAACCGATTGAATAGATAGGGATAAGTTCACCTTGTAAAGCCAACAGTGATGAATTTGAGCATCATCTTAGCTGCAGTTTCACCGCAGCCATTTCGCGTCACCGGTTCGATACATTTGATCATATTTCCGAGGTCTCTGAGTTAGTATTGGATTATTTTCATGTTTTTTTCGGATGTTTAAAGAACTTATTCTTGGATATGATCTCTAACGTTTTAAACAGCACTTAAGAGAAAAAATTCTCCTCCCATTATAAAAATCTTTTTTTTCATTTAGGTAGAAAGGCCAGCTATTATCACCATGGTTAAATTTCCTAGAATAAATAATTCAAGTTAACCTGCAAAGTGTTCCCAGTCTGTTCTGAATATTGTGCTGTTCGCGGTTGATAACAGCTGCACTGAATGAATTACTACCCGCCAACGACTGATTAATTTCATTTTGACATCGTGACATTGCTACTGGTTCATACCTGCAGTTCTGGTTGGGTAGTATTGTAATTTGATTATTAAAAACTAATATTATTGATCAATTTGGAGGAGTGAGTATTTGAACATTATTTTGCAAAAAGATGAAATAGAAATTGTTTCTTCAGTTTCTGTCAGCGAAATTTCAAGGATATCAGTTAAACAGTGCAAGAAAAACGGAAACTTACTGGGCGAGACATGGTAAATTGTTGAAGAATTCTGAAATTCAAATTTATTTAAGTATTTGTAATACTCACACTGTATTGGGATACATTATGGGTCGTATGAAATTCTAAAATTTAAAGTATCAATGCCTTGTGTATTAATCCGTGCTAAATTCGTATTTCGTCTAGTTTTATAATCTGGCCCTACTAATCTTTTTCGGAAATAATGAGATTGGAACTACAGGTTCAATCAGTTGGTTATACTAGCAGCAGCAATTGTACGTGGAGTAGGTTTCAGTAAAAGTAAAAATTCGACATCAGCTTTGTCAAGATTGTTAAATTATACAACATTCTTAAGACCGACTGACAGATTTTTGCGCTTCCATTATTGTCTGTAGATAGAGAACTGAAGCTTCATATCTGTAACTCATTTCTAACTCGATCATTTACAAGATACAGGGCATTCTTTTCGCTTCAATGCGAGAAATGTAAAAGTTGGTTGATTTCAATATATATTGTTTTTATGCTGCGTCATAAGATGTGAGAGAGATTGCAAGATGATTAGTTTACGTGCACCAGAAATAGTATATATTCAGATTCAGAAATAGTCGTGTTGCGTGCATGTGTGCGGAGAGACGGAAAAATTTTAGGAATCGGTAGACAGTAGCTCCAAGTGAACTAAAGAATGGGGAAAATCATTCAAGAGAGTAACGAGAGGAAACTGAAGAAATGCAGAGATGAATGAACTTTCATCCAAGTTTTACTCGGGGCTAGGTAGGAGTAAGTCTCTGTTCCACGGAATGATCCAGTAAGTATCCGTAACTTTTTACAATCCTAACACTCTGTTAATGTGACAAAGTTAAAGGACTTTGTATGATCAACATCCCTTTGAGAGATGGGTAGATATTTCAGAACTGATAGTTTTGGTCATTGTTACAAATGGTTGGATGAGAAATTCCCGGAGGAGAAATAATGCAGCTGAAGTAATGCATATAGTTCGTATATCTATATTTTACTCCTTCCTTTTCTCTTTTATGACTAAATTCATATATTTCACAATGCAAGAATGACGTCATCTTTATCCAGTATTTTTCTTCTTCATCGCGAAATTAATAAAAAGTGACCTTTAAATCGTTTCCGTAAATACTTATTGGAGTCCATGATGGAAATTCGAAATTCTTGACCTATAGTTTCGTTTTTACTAAATTACCGGAAATTAAACAGAACCTAAATGGAAAACAAACCTTTTTTTTGTTCAACACAAATGAAGCGTAACCCGGCATATGTTCGACGAATACTGGCGCTATGCTCGGATGTTTTCTCGCATTCTTCCAAACATTTATCTACTCGTTTATAAGCCCTGAACGTCTAAATAATTTTACAATTTCTTACTTTGATACGCTGAATGAATATGAAATGGACAGAAAAATTCAGCCAAAACGCATTAACATTATGTGAATTTACCATTTTTCATCCTTAACATTTATTACAATTAATTTGAAAACAAGAAAGAGATCTTACTCGCAAATATTATGAAACGAATTTTCGGTCACTCGTCGATTTTTTGATGCCTGAAATGGTCATTTAATCCTCACTGATTTATAGCTAATTTTGACGGAATCCAAACTTTGCTAACTTTCAAATTGAACGAAAGGGTCTCGTAAGTATTCGCGGAATTGCAGCAATCGCGAAATTACCCATGATTTCCATTGTGAAATCAATATTCAATTGAAAAATTTCCACAGTCTTCTCAAAAATCAGTTCTGAGCAACAGGGATGAAACAACAAATGAATCATCACATAATCGAAGTAGTTCAATTTACAGAATTTGCAAAACCTCTGTTAAGATTACTAAATGAACGTCTTACGTGGACGTGGAAGTGTCTTCAGTACTCTAATCGTTTCATATTTGATAATTCAAATTCATCATTTTTTTTTTTTGCGAACTATTATATTATTAAATAAAGGGAAAACAATTTATTGTAGTAACTAATACTATTGTCATTTTCAGTGATAATGCAGATCTTAGAAAGTAGAAGGAAGAAACTTGTAAAAGCTGTGTCCAAGAAAGCTGTCCTTGATGGTCACTTCGACTGAAGGGCATATTTTCCATGATATGTTGCATTTCACTAATGCATGGTTCTACACAATCACCGCTCAAAAAGCCTTCCACACATAGGACACGTGTAGTATCTGTAAAGTACTTCAGGTTTGCCAAGACAATGACAAGTTGTTTAAAAATTATTTATTAATTTTCGAAATACCTACAAATATCTAACGGATCTCACCGTTGCCGAAAAAATAAATTGGTGACGAAACTATTTCATGGCTCAATTTTTTAATTAAAGCAATAAAAATCGTACATGCAATTAAGACGATAAATGCTGACTTGATCATTATAATGTCGACGTCACGTCCAGCTGCAAACATGAAACATCATTTCCCTAAATATATTAAGAATTTTGAAAAAATACTAATGAACTTCCTTGAAAAAATTAAATTTCGTCAATAACAATTTACAAAATGATAGAACAGAACTTGACAAACTAAGAAAGACTTTTTAAAAGCAAAATTAAGGAAAAATCAATACTGATTTTAGAATTATTTCGAATATAATGAAATGGACGTTTTTCTCTTACTGTCATCTCTTTTGCCTGTGGAAAATCTAATGTTTTGCAAAGGTATTTCCAGATACTCGAAGATTCCTTCTGAATTGTCAGAAATTTAAATCACTGCTATTAAATTAGTCCCATTGTGGCAAATACCAAAATGTTTGAAGTTGTAATTAATATCACCTTGGATAAAATAAAATCTTCATTTAAAATCTACTGAAATTCGAGTTTAAGCTATGAGAATTAGTTTAAAAGTAGGGTATTCTATGAAATCGTAATCATGCAAAATATCAAATGATGTTTACATATTAAATATTAAAGTTAAGTAAACGGATAGTTTTTACAATGAGCCTTAGCTAGTATTACTTTCGAGTAACTTGGCCTACTTTTACCCTTGATATTCAGAGTAGTTTAGATATCAGTATGAAAGCCTTGACCTCAGTGATCTCTAATGCAGAGTTTTCCATAAACATATTTGTTTTGTATCTATTTGATAACTAGCATGAGTATTTCCAAGGTTCTCAATGTTGATGCAAAACTCTGTATGCACGAGTCTATTTGGCTAAGTTGTTTCAGAAATGTCCAAAATTGTCAAACCTTCACATGATTAAAACAAATCGTAATGAATAAGTTAAACGAGTAAAGAGAGTAATAAGTATCGACTATATTCTCTTTTAGAAAATAATCCTATAAAAATGTTGTCATACGATAAGTCAATGAAATAACTGCAGAATGTCTAAAACTTCATGCATCCAGTAGATAGGATTTAATGAAAATAAGAAATAAAGGAGACAGAAATTAAATTTTAGTGTAAAGGGGGATGTTTCACCGTTTATTATTACTAAATGCAATCTTTGAGAGATTGGAGAAGGAGGATGAGAAAGGTAAGTGGAGATGCAGTTTAAGGAACGAAGTTAAATACTTCTGAAGGTAATATACCAGCGGATTTAGATGTGACAAGTGAAAAAGTAAGTTTAAGAGGAGTAAATATAAAAGAACTTTTTGAAGCTTGGTACACAAAATTCAGAAAATTCCGACAAATATTTTGCATACGTCAAAATTATCACCTAATCAAATTCATTTTTAATAATTACAATCAGAAGGAATTTGGTTTCGGTGATCTATAGATAAATTAAGCGTAGTTCATTGAAGTAATATACCGCCGTCTTTCTTATTTGAAGGTTATTGGGTGAATATTCGTTGGAAAACATAAGTTCAGGAATTTAAATCCATCAAATGTTTCCAGCAAATTTTCGCTGTTAAATACATTTTCTATGATAAATTGAAGTTTGAAATTTGTCAATTAATATTCAAAATTCAAAAGTTAGTATAAAATTAAAAAGAATGAAGTAAGCCTCTCGCTGATGTCATTAAATGAATTTGCTCGAATTCTTTGGCACGTACTTGAAATTCCCTTCCTCTCTTCCATGTCCTCTCAATATTTGAAATACCAAATCATTTCCCGATCCGTCCTCCTTTTGTGAGAAATATATACTTATATTTGTTGAAGGAAACAAACTGAATATATAAACAGACACAGACACAAACGCAAGCACACACACACACACATACACATACACATACACAAACACGTGTGTATGTGTATGTGCGTATTTACAACAAGAGGCCACTGGATGATTTAGGCTTTTCAAGTTCAATTAATTTAAATGGAGAATGACGGAAAGCTTCCTTCCCAATTGAAGGTGGGTCATTCGCTTCCCTTCCTCTTCCACAAATGAGCGAAATTTTGAATCTCTTTGCGCTCTCGTTGCAATGTCAACTTTTCATAAGCCTTAAAAGGAATGAATCTTTCCCAAAAACATATCATCAAGCCATTAGATGCTTACAATACTTCACTCCTACTAAACACACATCTGTCGCAACAATTTCATTCCACTCTTCACTTCCTTCCATAACAGAGAATCACTAACTGAAGTAATTTGAAAATGAATGAATCAATAAATGAAGGAATAAATGAATGGATGATCGATTGAAAAATGTGCAATATATAAACATAAAATGCATTTCAAACTTAATGATATGTATTATTTAAAAAATTGAAACTAACTTGACAAAACACTGGATTTTATTTCAAGTTTTATTGCTTTATTAAAAAAAAAAGTCTAAAAAAGTGATGTCTAACTGGAAGATGCATTATCAAAGTGTTGTATTATTATTATTAAGTGTTATAGCATCACTGCTTCATTTGTTCAGTCTTAGAAACGAAATATCTCAGTGTTATGATATTATATTATCAGTGTTGGAAAGGAAATATTATTGTGGGATGTGGAGATTTTAACAATTCTATATTATGTTCAAGTTCAACAATACATCACAGAATATTCGTAGTCCTCACTAATCATGAAACTTTTTAATTCCTTTCATAATTGCCTCCCTACCACTCATTTACTTCCACCTTCTGTCAATTTGCACTGATCATAATTTCTCTTATCGTCGTTATCTATGTTATATATATATGACTTCATATATACATTTGAAGTCATATTTAGGTTTTAAGTCGGTAGGGATTTTACGCATTTTACAGTACTTCCTTTTCGAGCTTATTATTTCTCTGAAACTAAAGATCTGTTCTAATCACTTGGAACGCAAAAGAATCTATGGAAACCTTTTGATTATTGTAAGCAAGGGAGAGAGAGAGAGTATGTGATAAGAAAGAAGAAAGATAATGGTATGTTAAAAAAAGATAAGCGAAGTAGGACAGTAATTCCATCTATTTAATTTTTTTTTAATACATATTTCTAGCTGCTTGCTATTTTTACTTTGTTTTTAAAAAAATGACAAGATTTTTGAAGATCTTTATTCGGTCAAAGAAATCTCGAGAGAGGAAGTTTTCCCAAAGTTTCCTTTCTCTCAATGGGACATTTCAGAAATGAGGAAGGATAATGAGAAAAAATAACAAACAGCTGGACATAACCAAAACTTGATTTATCGTTTTCGAATAAGCCTGCAAAACGCTCATTTTTGAAAGTTGAAAAAATGAGGCAGAAAAGGAACCGCGGTATGCAAAACTTTCTAATTTTACAGAGAAAGTGAGACGTGCACAATTTAGTTTACAAAGGTTCAGCAAGTTTTTAAGTAAATAAATTCATACTATTAAAACGATTTAATCCTAAATGCTTTCATTATTTGCATCAAATTGATCCTTGGCATCCTATATATGATCCTTATATTGCATTTTATTTTTTATATTGCGTTAATATCTGGTGCTAAAGCAACTTTAAAGGAACACTTCACGCCAGGCGCTCTTTTATCCAATAAATCATTTCAACTTGCGCACTATCTCACTTTTCATATTCATCAGTGTCATTTACGACTTAAAAGATGAAATTTTGACAGTTTTGTGAATAGCAGAATTGATTGTTGAGAAAGATTGCTTACCGTTGATTCAAATAGATCGACAAAGATTTGCAAAAAATAAGCATATGTTACATTAAATCTTCTCATTATTAAAACCAGGATACTTAGCTCCTTGATTCGAATTTATGCTCAAACTATGGTTACTTTCAAAATTGTTGGAATTAATTTCAAATATTCATTGAGAAGTACAAATTCGAGAACCAAACAAAAGTATGAGAAATGATTTTTGACAAAGTTCTGTATAAAATTTTCAGGGGAATATGAATTTTAAAGGACTGAAAGTGTTGAGATTCCTGGATTTTTTGGAAACTTGTTGGAAGTAGAATGCTTTTCGGAAGTTGTGAAGAAATGATGCTACTTTTATTTCCGAGTACGATTTTAGATTTGGCAAAATCGACTGCTGATTAATAATTGGTAAGGTTTCCATTCTGATAACATATTTAACTTGACTGAGGTTCATTAACCTCATATGATACGCCTATTGATTCTCTTTAAACGAGGCACACATGACTAATATTTAAGATGTAATTGGTATTCATCAAATGTTCATTAATAAAAACAATTATTTTGGCCTATATCAATAGTTTTAGTTATTTCACTTTTTAATAAATCAATCAATCCACATTTACTTCTTTTTCTTTCAATATTCCGTCCGGAATAAAATTGCCAAAAAATTAACGGTACTAAATGACAGTCGGACCTCTCAGTGTTTACCGTTCATATTAATTCAACGATAAACAAAATTTAGGCAGCAAGAAGGAAGTATGCACAGATCATAAAAGTAAACAAGCTAAAATGATATATTTTGTAAAAATTTGAGTGGATCACTTCGAGTTTTCTAAAAATAACAAAGACCTTAATATTATGGAAATAACGAACGAAAAAAAAGCAGGTCATTTTGTTTGACATTACCTAAATATTCATAATGCGATAGAGATACCCTTTCAATCATTACTTTAATTACGTTAGAAAGAAGGACAGCAATTCTTTCACACCTCTACTTTTTACTTCCGCATCTTTCCCACTTTATTTAAAGTCCACATTTCAATATCAAATCTATTTCGTGACCCAAATGGTTTTAAGGAGAGGAGGAGGAGGAGTTCATTAATCATTAACTAAGGTATTAATGAGTTGGAAAAGAGGTAAGTAAACAAGTTAGTCTACTGTCCTTGCCTTTGTTGACTGGTATATTTATAGTGAGTAACTGTGAGGGAGAAACTACGGCATAAATTTGTATTTGCTCCTATATGATTTAATATATCGACCTGAAATGCTTTGTTATTCAACAACTGTGTTTTTTCTACTCATAACCTTTACATTATTACCAGGTTATCAATTTTTCCTCATTAATTATTATTTCATTTCCTGTGCTTGAACCTTAATCATTTTATTGAAATTAACCTATCATGATGACAAAATTTGTGTGAATTCAAATTTCTGTTGCAAAATAAATCGCACTAAATATTAAAATCGAAAAAATGAATTTTCATGATATGATTGGTCTATTATGAAACAAGCCATAAAAGGAAGAATTCATTTTCATATTTGCATAATTAAATTGAAATGAGAAACCTAGTTCTTGTAGTAGTTTTGTTTTGCTTTGTAGAAGTTATGCTGCTTTGAGGTATCTTCACTTTCACATCTCTGAAGTCCCGATTAAGGTTCGAGATTCAGATAAGAGTATTTCGAGAATATGATGATTCATTTGTGATTCAAAAAAGAGATACACTCATTTCATTATTTCTTTCGAAAGTTTTTATTCAACAAGAAAATCATTAAAAATACTTCATTTTCAGCAAATGGACAATATTCAATTGCTAATAAAATAGATCGCTTGAAGCAATGGCCTGAAACAAATCGTGATTCTTTCTCACAATCCTTAACCAATGATTTAATTGCATCCATATCCGACAACAATGATATCGCTACAACTATACTTAAAATTTTTGGCTTTAGTTCAGAACCGAAAGTTTCAGAAGCACAATTCACCAGAACAACCAATTTGCCCACCACTTCACTTAATGGAGTTAAAGTTGCTGACAGAAAAGGTAAGTTTCAAACTTTAGATTTGATTAACGAAGCTTTAAAATTTAATCATTTAAACAAATGTCTTATTTCATATGCAATTATTACGACGAAAAGAAATGTGCTTTATAGATGATTTAATAATCATCATCGATATTTCATTTCCTAGTTAAGTACTCCTAGTTATAATTTGAATATTCAAAATCAGAATTAGGCAAGAATTAAATTTACATATGAGAAATTTTTGTCTAATATGCCATATTAGAATTGTTGGAACAAATTGAAATTTCAATACCAAGCTATTTTGATTACAAATCGTTCAATATTTCACAAGGTCAATGAAACAAATCGATGCATCCTACCCTATATTTCTATCTTTATTTACTTGTATAACTTATTATTGATTGTAAAGTGAAGAGGTGCTTCAGTTTATGTTCTATGAACACTTGAGAACAGAAATGGAATATTGGATAATAAACAACCATCACCATAAAATTAGATATCATAAATTTGGAATCCTTATTCACTAATAGTCAATTCCTCTAGTATCTGCTATTATGATAATATATTACTCCTTTGATATCGAATCAGTAAAGAGTAACGTGAAATAATATACTGATAATTAAAAATAGAAATGACACTCAGACGAGTTTCATTTGATTCAAATTTATGAGTAATTGTTGTAGGCCGAGAAAAGACCATTACAAAGAATATACATTAATACATATATGAAATAGAAATTTTGAATCCTTATCTAAAATAGATATAAAATAGAAATTATTCAGTCTAAAGTATATCAGTTCTTATCAGATCATAGACTACACCACCGAATATTTATACAAAGTCACATGAAATTGAATTAAGTGAAGTTTGAATAATCATCAGAAATATAGCAGACCATTGAAGCATTTTAAGCCACTAAATAATTTACATGAAAAGGGTACTGTAGATTTGATGGGATGCAGAACTCAAGCATTAATATCAAATGTGACGACCTGTTTTGTTGGGACCAATGCTTTTTGATTTCTAGTTCAATTTACCATATCAACTGCAAGACCTACATTTCTAAATATTAAGTAGCATTTGTAATAGCTTAGCAATTAGTGTATATTCTCATTATTGTTTTTAGTTTGTCCTTTCGATGCCGATCCATTGATTTTATCCGGCGAATACAGCTACTGCAAGCCGATAACAGTTGGAGAATGTCCAGTTGGTTTCACCTGCGACTTTAGCCTGGTGCTTGGCCGGTCAGTATGCTGTCAGGATATGCGTAATCAACCTGTTGTTAACATAAGAGTGAAGCTACCGACAAGTTAGTATTGTAGCAAAACTTCATGACTCTCGATTTTTCTTGGTTTTTAAAAAATTTTGAATCGGGGAACTTGTCATTTTGCCTATTGTCCATATGCTTGTTTATTTGCAGTTAAAAGTTAATTCGTTTACAACATTGGTTTGAATTCTGTAGACTGCATCATTTCTTTTGCCATGTTTTATACTTAAGATTCAACCTCCAATCCTCTTTTAGCAACATTTTCATCTGATCCGGAAAGGACCAGAACCCGTGAACATATCTGGTCATCTACAGTTGCCAATCGTCGATCACCTTGGTATATCAGGGACAGGTATGCCAATGATGCATCTTAATATTCTGGTATATACTAATGTAAAGTGCTTCACATGCATATACTTCATTGTATAGATGGATATGTTAATTATGATCCTTCCTCCTGAAAAGTGCCAATCCATATTGTCATCTTTAAACACCTATCAGCAAAACAGTTCCAAAAATTTTCTCATGTAATATTACTGAAATTTCTTTTGTTACCTTGATTTAAGTCATATCCTGTAGAAGACCACTGTACAGAAATCCGTGGAATGGAACTGCGCATAGCTTTGCGCCTACAGCACTGATCTCTAAAAGCGACGAAATACTGACAACAGAATCTGCCGTAGGTACCAATAGCTCAACTGACGAATATATTAGTACTAATAGCGAAATCACGTGAGTTCATTGTATTATTTAAACTTAGAGATAAATATTTAAAATTTCAAAGGATTTTGCTGCTAGTAATTAAAAAATTTAGTTTGTCGTTAAGGAAAATTTCTTTTACATTTGTAGGTTACTGCAAAGTTTAATAAACTGGTCCCTTTTTTACTTTATCAGTATTTCTAGATAAGTGGTAATTGATCAATTTAGTCTTGGATCGTCTAGTTCTCTATGTGAGTTATGAATATGCTCTGTTCAAAGACTTCAAAACTGGTGAAAACTACAAAAAATTCCCACAACAATTCTCGTAATGCAGTGCTTGACCACTTCTGCTACCATATGACTTACAACGTTGACAGTTTTAAAACATTTCTAATATCCTGGAATATACCTAATTAGTGCGAAATAATTAGCCAGTTTAAACTGAGAAATTGTAAACTCGTTTAACTGCTTGTTTGGAATACATTATCACTTATGATAAACAAAAGAGAAAGTAGCGCAAAGTAAGGCAATACTTGAACAGTGAAATTCACTTCGAATTCCAAAAAAGTTCCCGAGATGAGTTTTTGGAAATTTGCTTATATCTCTTCTTCACCGATATGCATAAACTGATGTGTTTTTTGTACATCGGACAGGAAAAGATGATGATAACGTTTTTCTGAAAAGAAAGGTCAAACAGACCGGTAAGTGTTTTGGTAAGTGTTTTGTGAAGTATATTTGAGATAGGTTGAGATTTCTGCTCCTTAGATTTCCAAAAGTTTTGGGAAAAAAATCTCCAGAGTAAAATTAAGTGCCGAAAAAAATTAAAGTTGATTTTTTCCAAGAATTAACAAATCGGAGGATTCCTCGCATGATGCCAATTTCTGATTCTTTATCAAACACTCATGATTTTTCTGGACTAGTTACTCTTTTAAAGCTGTATTACCAAAATTTAACTTTTGGAATCGGTAATGTCGAGTCAATTCCGCCCTTCATATATAAATCATAATATTCATTGCTAATTCAAAGAATGGAACGAATTTACAGAATTCAAAGATCGATTGAAAGATAAATAAGTTAAGGAGCCTTAAAATGAGTTCTGGTCACAAGGAAGGTCCAATCGTAGAAGCGCAGTCACAGAAATGGCCATTTATTATGCTTTATCGTTAAAGTGTTATAATGAATAAATCTAGAATATTTTCAGATAGAATGTTTCAAAATACAGCTAAATATAATTTATGATTGTATTTTTAATTATTAAAATTAGACTTCTCATACGATTCTTTTATTGATCAGAAAAAACTGTTTTGTTAATTTTAGTTTTACAACCGAACAACTAGAAACTGTACACCGCAATACGTCTGAATTTGGAGTAAATTCAATAAAATCACCTCAAACAACACTATCACCGTCCTCGATTACTTTAGTATCTGTCAACCATCCGACATCCGTATCGTTAATTCAAGTTGGTAATATTAAGAGATTGACGGACAAGCAAATGCTCATTGTTGGGACAATTACACTTATCAACGATCACGGTTACCGAATACTAGTGGACACCGGATCTGCTGCCGATACCGAATCACTTCTGCAGGGTATTAATAAATTTTTTGGATTTTTTTCAGCTTCGAATGATTCCTTCCCTGTTTGTTGACAACCAAAACAATCTTTAAATGTAATTTAACATTTCCAATCTACTCAATCAACTGTTAACAGATAAATTTCAACCTATGAGCCCTCAAAGGCAGTTAATATTTTGAAGATCTTAAGATCGGAAATCGTAATTTTTTGTTTTTTGCACTTTTTTTTGTGTCCTGATTTGTAAGATTTGAGAAGTGAAGGAAAAGCAGCTTTGTATAGCAAACAATTTTGGGTAACAGAAAATTTAATGATGTAATAATTGCATTTCATTCGATGGATGTCTGAGAAAATAAATGCAGAAATAATTTATCAAAACTTCCTCATATTCATTGAAATTGTTAGGAAGAATTTAAATAGGATCCCAATTATTTGAATGTAAGGGAAAAAAGAATAAGGAACTGGATGACAAGCTTCCTAGACTTTATGTCGGACAGAGCATAAAGTCTAGGAAGCTTACTAATCCAGCAATCACGCAAGTTTGGAGTGGAAAACTTTGTCATAAACTTGTGATAGGCACCCGTCAAATGAAAAACCATAAAACAAGACTGCTCATGGCATAACAGCTATATTGTGCTTTCTCTCATTTCATTAGATTTAAAATTTTTTATTTTATCGAAATTTCTAGCATTTGTGGATGAATTCCATATCACTAACTTCATTTAAAGTAATTTTAAAAACTGTCGATCAAAAATTATTATAAATATATAATGCAAATCCACACTCCTACAAATAGATCCTAATTTTGAAGCGAAGCAATAAAAAATTATAACTTTCGAGTGATACATTTTGAAAGTGTTAATTAGGTGACGAAAGTACTAATTGATTAGAGAATTAAATGAAAGTTAGTAAATGAACTCTTTCACACATAAAAGCAACAAGTTTATGACTTTAGCTTTCACTGAAAACATGCTTTGATTAGGAGATCATTCACTGATTGCGAAATGTGTGCTACTGAGGTCATAAAATAGTTCTCTTCTCTTGACCTTTTTAAATTTATTCAGGAAGAAATACTCGGGTAATCGATTTACCATCCAAACATGACTTCTCTCTCTATAGGTGAAAAAACCGATTTCTATGAGATTTGTAATGAAGCTTGTTAATAAACTCGAAGACTGAAAAAATTCTGCACTTTAAAGTAAAAAAATTTTGATTGAAGGTAATATCTGTCACAGAATTTGTGCCCGGATTAATTACTATCTCGATTTGAGCAAAGTTTAGACGTTAAATCTCAGTTCAGATGTTTGGACAAAAGAATAATTTACCATAAAATTTAAAATTGTTTGAAAACGATTTCAGGCCTTTCGAAAGAAATGATTTCCATGAATGAAATTGCGGTGATTGTAATAACGAGTGGACATCCAAGTCATACAGGTAATCTCAACCTTTTCCCGCTGAAGCCAATACTTTTTCATGTGATGGAATACGTGGAACAACATGGTACGGTCAGCGAACTTAAAGATGTTTGTTTCTTGTTCGTCAAATCTCATAGATTCAGAATAAAATTTTGAGGTAAAAAAAGGAAACTTCACTGGTCCTGAATGTCCATGCCGAAAAATATAATATAATATGAAAGAATTAATCAGATTACAGACTGTTATAAAGTTAAAAGTCCATCAAATAAAATTTACGTCATATGAATATGACTCATCGCACTTTCGCTTGTGAGAAGCATTGCTTCAGTTAAGATGTAATTGTTTATTCTTCTCTAATATTTTGATATATAATTTGAATTTTACTTTCATTTATAGAGGCCTTACCGTAAACTGACGGAGAATGTAGAGATTTGGAAAACTCCTGGTCCTACACAACAAAGTGTCAGTGTGTTGGTTTACAACGTGGAAGGATATGGAACGATGGCTGTTGTTGGCGATTTGATACCGACGGAGGATTACGTCTTCAACAGGGTTTGTTCTTCATTAAAACTACGAAATAATCTTATTGAATTTTAAAAAGTGAATTTGTGCCTTGGCTCTACTGATAATTTATTATGCATATAAAGTCACCGCTGAATATTAATTGAAATTTTATGATTGGCATACTTGGAGATTTTTTGGTTAACAGAGACTTCTCACTACCCCCTAAGAAAATATTTTATTTTAGACTTGCCTATTACTCACTTATCGTGAAAAGCACAGGAAGGGAAGAAAGTTAGTCCAATAAATTAGAAGTATATTAATCTGACTTTATTCAACACTTTTAGTTAATTTTGCCTATTGCTATAATCATCAGAATTTTATATTTGAAAGTAATTCGGCAATGTGAAATGTTTTTGCCTTATCTGCTTTATAACATAAGACGAGAATGATGGAAAAATTATTTCAGACAGATTCAAATGTTGATCTCGATGGAAGTGTTTGGGATTCATCGATCAGAAGGCAAAACTCGAATATGATCATGTGTTCAGCGGACTGGATCATTCCCGGTCATGGGAAACCTTTCAGAGTGTTACCGCTTTATAGGTATCAGTTATATCCAAAATTTTTTGATGAAGAAATCGGTTCCAGACTAATCTTATTTGTTTAGTTCATAAGTATTGATAAAGCTTTTGGCAAATCTTTTCTTTAGCAATTTTTTTTCCCAGTTTTCAGCAGATTGACATATATTTCTAACTGCTGTCTATCTTCTCAAAATCGATCTAAAAAAGAAAATTGGTCCCTCTGCCTTTTACCAGTAAATTTTGCAGCGCTTAGAGACATATATTAATTTCTTGAGATTGGAAAAAAGGAATTCAATTTTAGGCAGCGAGCGGGATGTACACGTTTGCTAGCACAACGGAAGAAATTCGGCAATATATAATCGGTAAAACCAGAAAGAAATAAGAAAAATAACCACCTACTTAAAATCTCCTTGTTGTTTTTTACAGTTGTTTTCTAATTTATAATAAAATAGTGTTTTATAACTAAAAATACCTTCTGACTTCAGTGATTCTAAGAATTAGCGATTTTGAGAGATACAATCGGGAGAAAAACCTCGTATAACTTTAAACTCATCAATGCCTAATTGATCCTTAATGAGTAGAAAGATAGTAGCAGTCCTTGCATTTTTTCATCCATAGTCCTCTCCAAAAACAATGCTCTAGCATGCGACCGCTCGTTCTCGAAGGAGGGCTAAAATTAAAATACCGAAGTTATGTTGATCCATTAAGAAAAAGCCTTTAGAAACTCCTCGCTGCATCTCAAAAATCATTTATCTCTTCTTCCGAGAAAGAAGGAACAGACAACTTTTCATAGAAAAGTGAAAATCTTGTCATTTAACAAATTTATTAGTTTTGTTTTCTCCGCGTGACCTGTAACTTTGACGTTCATTTACCACGCAGATATAGAAAATCAGAACTAGAAGAATATGACAACGTTGCATATTGGAACGTCATTTATCATGAAGGTCAGCTGAAGCATGTTTGGAAATCGGAAATTTTCGAATAGGAAATTCCTATGCTGGAGTTTCTTTAATTGTTGCAAAAAAGTTTTTATCACAAACATAGTCAAGTTTCATCCCTTATTAACTTTAGTCTGTTTGGTGGGTCAGCATGGAATTGCATTTCCGTCATTTCCATCAGTTTATTTGCATAATTTATTCTGTGCAGTATGTGGAAACATATATCATCGATAATTTACAAAATGTCCTAAACTGAACAGATATCTTCATGAAATTAAAAAAGATCGGCATTCTCAGATAGAAATCGAGATCCAAGCTGATGGACTGCAGCACTCAAGATGATTCTGACCCATAGGGATGATTAAACTTTTTACAATTCTTCTCTAAATTGACTGTCAACGACAGATGTTAAAGGTTACAAAATTACATTTAAGCATTAGGAATAGAGCAAGATATGAAACCAAATTGATGTTTTAAAAATTGCATAGCCCACAGTTTGAAGTGAACAAAATTTAGTCAAAAGTAGTAGTAGAATTTTGGGTCATTTTAAATTCAGACTTTGATAGTTATTGAAGAGAGTAGATCGCTGCATTCGACCGATTCAATTCGAAGTTCACCTTTGAAGCCAATTTCACCGAAACCGAAAGGTCAAATATTTTGTTTGTTGAGGAGAATGAAAACATGCAAAGCATAACGTAACTGTTTACTTTGCAATTATTTTTTAATCTTTTGACCTAAGCGATGCAGGATATGACGTTACTGCAACGTCGAATCTGCATGTCGATGTAATCCGTTCTCAGATTAACAATTCATCAAGAATGATTTATGATATACCTGGCGCAAGAATTCCTGAGCTGCTCCAATTTAAGGTATTTGAACACTGAGTAGCCGGTTGTTGATCCGCTGGTGTTCTATCAACGATTCGGCAAAAGTTCTCGGTTCTGAAAATGGGTTACAATTCGAAATCGCACTATTTGACATTGAAGAAAATCATGGGTTCGAAGTTTTGGGGTAAAATCGAATATTTGAACCTGTGCAAATCTTTAACGGAGTAAAAGCCATTTTTTTCTCCTCCTTCCGATATCTTTAATTCTTCCCTGATACGTTAATCTAAAGGAAATCATAACTAAAGGATACTTTTGCAAAGTTTCGCTCGTAGCCAATTTAAGAAATGAAGAAGTAGAAAGTAATAAAAAGTAGATATTCAGATATGATTAACTTTGGACTGCAAGACTAAAAAAGATGTTAATGTCTGAGAGCAACACTGCTGCTACTACCAGAAATGCGGGCGGGAATAAAAAAAAGATAAGAAAATATCCGACAATAATTGAAGTAATTCGATTGATGCCAGTGGTAAAAATTTCAGCTGGAAATCACCCAGGAAAAGAAATGAAATATTTGGGAGGACAGTGAAAAGAAATGATTTGATTTTGAGAAAATTAATTTACTGGTAATTTGTAATAGCCTTGGAATTGCGAAATGTCTTCAGTTGCGAATCCTAAAACGGGTGAAACGGTACTAGTTGGAGTTTTAGCAGCACCAATAGGAGCATATATCATCAGTTTAGTTGAATCTCGTCGCACTTCTTTTCCCAGCACTTTTTTGTGAGGGAAAAAAGCATAGCCTTAACTTTAGCTTAATTGTCAACTTCTTACCTTATCTCCATCTCCTCTCTTCATTCACACATTCATACACTTTCATTCCTTCATACACTTGCTTATTCTTGCCGGAACATTTCATATTTCACGTTATAGAAGTATTAACATTTGGTAAGACTAGCCCGATGGCCTCAATAAATAGTTCAAATGGTCTCCTGAGGTGAGTTAATCGACAATTGAATATAAAATGAGTGGACAGTAGATGGATGTACTGATAAACAGTATTTTACATGGAACTTGAATCAGACTCTGATTAAGCCTTCTGTTGACATCCCATCCGTTTTATCACATTGCAATATCGAGTAGTCCTAAGCTGGTACCAAGCCTTATGGTAATAGGTCATATCTCTGGAAATAATGATTCGAATGAGTCCTTCATGGTTAGAATGGAGAATGGTTGGTGACATTTATTGAAGTTTCTCAGGCAGAACTTGGGAGATTTGAACAATTTGTAGAGATTTCTGATAACTCTGCGGTAGTTCGGCAATTTAGGATGCGTCAATTTATGCAAATTTTTTTTCTCATCGAATAGACATGCAATAGATGATAAGATGACCGTGATTTATCACTTCATGTGTTCTACTTTAATTCTTACTGCACTTTCGCAACTGTCCATGCAATTTGTGCATTTCGGTGGTGTATGTTATGCAGCATG